TTAAATCCTCAAGCCACTACAAGACTACGTAGTGATCCATGTCTACTATGAAGATGGTAAGTAGCTTAGATATTTTTGAGGTTTTAGCTGCGTTCAGCTTGCATTCGCTTTCCAGGCCGTCTCGAAATAAGTACTGGTTCCAGTCCATCAGCCTTAGTGTAACTGCCGTCTAAAACACAGGTCTTAATTACTCCATAATACCTGTTTTGATGGTGATTTACTGTGTAATGTTTGAGGAAAAACTTTATGACTACGATTAGAATGTAAAAGGCGAAGTTTTCAAGATAATATTCAGTCTCAAGTTTTCGTAATGTAGCAAGGCATCATCATTTTGTTGTTTCACATTAATATGAAGCAAATTGTCGCAAACATTTAACAAATAAATTAAGTTTTAGGCAAACGTGATCGGAGCTACATTAAAGGCGAAGCAAAAGAATGAAGCAATAGATGAAGAAGCTGAAATCTTCTGACCCCCAAGAGTGTTCTTTTACAACTGCAAGCGAGAGCATGTGTGTGCGTAACAGGCGAATGCTAACAGGAGCCAGCAACAATTAGCGTGTCATTGGTACACTCGAGCCATCATGCACGCGTCACTCACGCGAGGTGGCTGTCTGTCCACTAGAAATAGTTATGGGATGCTCTCTCTTTGACATTCTACGGTGCTTTGACATTCTATCCCCTGAATGCAATTGGATATAATAAGTAAAAATTAGAGCACAAAGTGACTGCTGTTGCTACCTTTAAGTGCATCAGATTTATCGGACAAATAATATCTTTTGCTATTCAATGCTTCATGAATAGAAATAACAATACAAGTATTTGTAAATAATGCAGTAGCAATGTTTACTGGTCGTGCACACAGTAGGCAACGAAACATCACACTAATTGTACTGCAACTGATAAACCCACTCCCAGATTGCGAAAACGTAATTGAAGGCAAATATTAACTGAATTGTAGTCAAAATTAATATTTTAAGTGCTGTAAAAAAGTTCTTTTACTCTGCATTTCACAAATGGTGTGTTATACATCATATAACTAAGACAGATTTCCAAAACAATTACTGTATTTAGAAAGGCATTCGCCTTATTGTTTGGATTTTCACCAGTGATGAGATAAACTTTAAAAAGAGTCAATTTCTGCTTCACTAAGTTAAATGTTTATATTTGAATAAAAAACATTGGCGGTTGCACTTCAAATTTAAGCAGTTATACATAAAAACCTGCAAAAATGCCACCATATGCGAAATTGTTAAGGAAACTGGTGAAATTAGGCTTCGCTCTATAATAGATATGTTGATGTGATGCATGCAGGTTATATCACATGACGGAAGTAATAATTGTTGCACATTTTTCACACCGTAAAATTGTTAGCTGTATTCCTTCAAGTGACACAAAGGTCACGTGAAAACTTTATTTGCACCAGTTAAAGTTTTGGACGGGTGTAATTACACTTGCATTGCATGTTTAGAAAGGGAGTCAAGATCTAGTTGTGTCTTCCGCCGTCCTATGGACAACCAGCTTACTGCACTATCATTATTTTTGCCACATCATAGGCTATGTTACTGCGTTTAAGTACAGATTTTTAAGGATGCAAGTGCAAATAATATTAACTATCTGAAAATATCCCAAAAAAATTTTTTATAGTTTTTTTTTAAAATAAACGTCTGTGCCTCAAAGTAGATCAAAATGAAGGAGATATTCTGGTGGATATTTTCAGTTTCTATTATTATTTTCGGTATATTATGCTTATTTTATTTATCGTCGCTTGACGGCTAAATTTTGGGTTTTGAACTTTGTCGCAGAGTAGCAATCTTGAACAGTAAAAAACTGAAACCTTATAAACACACATCTACCTAGCAATTCATATTTGAAAATAAAAATTGGACAAAATTTTAATCTGGCAGTAGAAATTTAAACTTTGCAACTACTTATTTTTCACTCAACTAACTTTCCATATTTAATTACTCTGTCATTTTTACTTTGTTTCCGCGGTTTAACACTGACAAGTTGTCTAAAGCTGGAAATCAATTTGATTACAAAAATGCCTTTTCCGTTAGATTCAAAAAAGTACATATATATGCACAGAAGGACATGGTTGTATCTCGATTAAAGAACATCTCTTATTGCGGTTCAGAATTCTACTTGTGGAGAAGACGGACAGAATCTTGCTTGCTACGCTGATGATATCATATGTG